CCTATCCTTTCCTTTTTTTATTTTTTCTTTTTCTTTTTCTTTTTCTTTTTTTTTTTTTTGGAATCTATTGCTTCAATAATTCATCGAACGCTGTTGGATGTAAATGGCATGGTGGATCTCGAAGGATTCGAAAATCCCTCGAGATACTTTTTGCGGAAAATACTTCTGCGAGAAGATTTTGTTTCTTTTTTTAAAATTGTTAATTTTTATGTACATTCATTCGTGGCTAAAGTTCAACTAAGGAAAGTAATCATCAATGATCGTAAGGAATGGAGAATCTTTTTATTAGCGATTTATTAAGCTATATAAATTGTTAATTACTCGTTTCTCTGAAGAAATTTTTATAATGGTTGGGGACAAATTATAAGCAAAGAACTAATTACAGGAAAGAAAAGGTAAAAGTTATTTAAAAAGTGAAAATTTATATGTCTTTGGAATCGCGGAAAAATTCTTGAAAGCAAAAGGTTAAAAGTAATACGATTTAAACGGAAGCTTTAAATCACTGAAACGTTTAGCAAGAAACTGAAACATCTAAATAAAATTAAACATGAAATGTAAATGTTTCATCAAAGACGAATATTAACTTTGCTCGGTCTGCGTGTAATCGTGAAAGAAAGTGAAAAAAAAATAACAAGATTTAAATATGTCATTCTCTTGATGAGTATATTTTTAATGGTTTTTAAATATAATTAATCTTTTAAATTAATTAAATTTTTTTGATGTCAAACTTAAACACTAAAGCAAATTATATTTGATAATTTTTGATAATATTTTAACAAAATATTCGTATTCAAAATATCTTTTTAAAATACATAATTATTAAAATTAAAATTAGCATAAGATTATAATTTCCAATATATTAAAAATAAAAATATATAAATAATATTTTATTAGATTTTGTGCTTATAATTTATGTCATTCTATGTTGCATAATATACGTGATATATAATATGTGTGATTACACATAATTATATAAAATATTCACTTTAAAAATATGAAAAGTAATAAACCTCAATTTCTCGTTTAAGCTAGTTAATGGCGATATTAAGTGTCTATCTCTATCAATCATCTCTATTAATCTTTACGCGCCATCGAGAAATTTGATGAAAATAACCTTCTATCGTTTAAATTACAAAATCCAATATGGTGGACGAGGGAGTTTATCAAACGAGTCTCTATAATTTCTATTTTTTATCTGAACAATATTGACTTTTCTTCTCATTAACGGCTAGATTTAAAGACTTTCTTTTTCTTTTAAATTTACTCTTTTTACTTCTTTTAATATTCCTTTAGCAGCATAATACAATTTTAACCGAGGAAAAAAATGATAATCAATACAATAACAATACAAAAAAAAAAAAAAAAGAACCAATGTATTACAAGATTCTGCTCGAAAGAAGATAAGGGATTTAAAAATTCATCGAGTACACGTGCACTAGACTAACCTCCAACCTGAACGCTTGCATTGTGATTTTCGATGCGCTGTTCCCTTCAAATTCCATTTTTTTCAAAAATGAAATACTGGAAAAAAGAAAATTGGGGGAAAAAAGCTGTGTTCAGCTTTTATTCAGCTTATTTTTGTTTGTAGAACAAGCCCGCTGCCCGGTTTTGTAATCTTCCTTCAGTTGGTAGCTAGCCAAGTGCACGTGTACTCGACGAACTTCCAAACTTGATTTTATAGAAAACGAAGCTTCGAACAAATAAAAAAAAATTTTGTCTCCTATTTTCGAATAGGAGAACAAAATAACTTTACGATTAGAATAATCTTCTGGAACCATTGATTGTTGATAACCAATACCAATATATTAACACTTAAACATCTCGTAAATAAACGTCAAATCGAAGAACTTCAAAATTCAAAAAGAAAAAAAAAAAAACACCAGATTATCCAGAATCTCGATAACACGAGCTTTTCCACGCCAGCCATTTAAATGACTGAAAAAGCCTCGTCGGCCGTGTCTTCGAGGAAGCAGGAAAATTGAATGCAGACGTGATTTAAAGCCGCAAGAAACACGAGCAACGTGGCGAGGAGAGGGGAGGGGAGGGGAGAATAAGAAGGGGGAGGAGGGGGAGGAGGAATCACGCAGTAGGCACACACGTGACTTTTGTTGGCAGGCATGGCGCGCTTGGTAAGGCAACCGACAGGAACAAGTTTTAATTCCTCGCGTCCGCGGCTCATGACCCCGGGGACTTCTTTCCTTTTCCTTCTCATTTTCTTTTTTTTTTTTTTCTTTGTTGCCACGATCGAAGTGGGTCAAGCCTACTTCCGCCTACTGGCGGCGTGCTCGAGCTACTACACCATCGTCATCGTCATCTCTATTGCGGCCAGCGTTGCTCTCGTCATCGAAATCCGCCCGTGGGAAGCAACCGTGTCTTCCTGATACGAAAATTGCTGGCTCCGGGGGAGCAAGGATCGCGATAAGGGAATGTAGTGTGCGAGCATGGTTGTTGGTTGCATGATACGTGCCATAATTCGGGAACGGTTTATGAGATAAAGGGGGGAAGGAGGGAAAAAAAATGTGTATAATTTAACGCGAAAGAAAAATTATTAATCATTATAGTTGCATACAAAGTCGTATAAATTAAGTTTCGTGACGAAGGTTCGGAGGATGAAATCATTGAATTTTAAATTTTATCGGTATTAAAATTACCGATTACGAAACGAATTACATTGGAAAGATGCGAGAATGAATCGCGAATCGAAACATCTCGCGACAATTTGCGAAAAGACGGTATTCGAATTAGAAAGCGGCGATTAACCACTTCACGAAGTCGCAAATAACAAGGCGGAACAACGGAGGCGACGTAAGTCTCGTCTCCCGAGGAGAAAACTTATTATCACTCTGCGAATAGCCGATCGTTCAATTACGTTTCTCCTTTTCCTGTTTTCGCTTCCACGATTCTCGATGCAACCACGTACATCCTCCGTTGTTTTTTGCGAGCCACTCGTGAAAATACACTCCCAACAAGATTAAATAAAATACCTTGGTGAACCTTACTTCTTTTGGATTTCAAGCAAGATGATGATGCTGCGCTCCCACGCTAAGAACAAGTTGAAATCGAGTAGAAATATTTTTCCTTCGATACGATGTAATCCCTGTCTGAATTTGATTTATGATATATCATCTTCTTATTCATAAATAAATTTATTTTTTTTTATAAAATTAAATTGTAATAGATAATCGTTACTTTTTATATAAATATTGAATACCAATTTTCAAAGGAATTTTGAACAGATAAATTTACACAGATAAATTTATTTTTTTTTATAAAATTAAATTGTAATAGATAATTGTCACTCTTTATATAAATATAGAATACCAATTTTTAAAGGAATTTTGAACAATTTTATGACAGATTTTATGATTTGTAGATTTGTAGATTTGTAGATTTTATTATTAATAATTTTATTTTTATTTAGAAGAAATATTCGTAGTATAATTAAAAAATATATATATAATTACCTGAGTTAATTTTTCCACAAATATTAAGTATTGTTCAATCTTCTCTAAAACTCCATTACAGTCGAAAGATCATAATTTCATCCAAGACCCTGAAACAAATAAATTAAAAGAAAAAAATTTAAGGTAAAATTCCTTAATCACTTGGATATATATAATTATACACAATTATATCAAACTTGAATTTCAAGCATATAATTTTCAATTAATACATTTCAAAAGACTATATCCATTTCGTACCAGAAAACAGGTCCCAAAATAGATACATTGTTCTATATCATCCATTCTTATCTAATTTTTCATCTACCGGCAATCATTCCTATAAAACGTTCGATTGGATCGTATCGTCATTTCATTTCGACTCCTCAAAATATCTCAAACAAGCGATCCCAACAATCGTGCCATAAATCACCCGACAACGTATAATCTAAAACGCTCGCTTCGCAACAACAAAACGGCCAGTCACAATGCCGATGGAATGGGTCTCAACTTTTTTAAGCGGATTTCGCGTTCTTGCTCCGCGAGAAGGTATCCCTCCATTTGTTATTCTCAATGCCTCCATGAAATCGTGAACGTAACACGCGTTTACGCTCGTAGTCGCAAGAAACACATCCACTATTTTCCCTTTAGACGCTCGACCGGTATGGGATATACAGTATGTTTGAAAAATAATGGGATTGATAACGCATAAAATCGAAAGCTTATCGTGTTTGTGAAAATCGTCCGTTTCTTTGGTTGATATAATTTGAGAAAGTTGATTTGCAAGAAAAATGATTTGTTAAAACGCAAATGGTATTCATTATTCGATCATTAAATCAAATTCGTTTCATGGATATGTTTTATTAATAAATATGCAATTTTTAAATTTTGAACGTTTAAAATTGTATATAATTCTTGAAATTTATATAATCAAAAAGATTATATGCAGAGTTATAAATTGATATATTGATATATTTAATATATCGATGATGAATTGATTTTAGATGGTAAAACAAACACAAAAGTTGATGTATAAAAATGTCGATTGAGGCTTATTTATTAAGCAATTGAATTTTGCATAGAGCGAGACAGGAGTAGAGTGAGATAACTTATAACTTGGTTACACTTCCTCGCCGTACTGTGGCGCGACATGTCATTCTGTCTCTATCTCGCTTTATCTAACGTAAACTTAAATTATAACTTAACAAATAAACTTCAACTTTTTATATATTTTTATATTTATTTTAGCCTCTGGAATAAATAATATATAAAATCTTTCACGAATAAATTAATACTTTACATAAATTTCATGTATTTGTCAATTAAAATTTTTATATATTATAAAGAACACTAAGAAATCACAGTGAAAGAAATAATAATAATTAATTATAAAAAAAGAGTATAAATTTATAAAGAAATAAATACTTAAAAAATATTTCTTAAAATATTTTTTTATCTGATATTTTAACCATGATATTCTCAAGTTTATTCTTACCATAGCATTTTATATCTTGAAAACTCTACAGATACATTCAATAAATTTCGTATACTGTTCCTATTTCTAGATATGTATCTATGAAATATTGATAAATGTACGTTAATATAAAACGATCGACAGATGACATTTCCGAAGAAACGGAAAAAAAAAAAAAAAAATTTTTGCTTTTAAGAAAATATTGAAAAAAAAAAAAAAAAATTTTTGCTTTTAAGAAAATATTGAAAAAAAAAAAAAAAAATTTTTGCTTTTAAGAAAATATTGAAAAAAAAAAAAAAAAATTTTTGCTTTTAAGAAAATATTGAAAAAAAAAAAAAAAAAGAAAAAGCTTTAGCTTTTCAGACATACTGTACATAGATAAGAAGACAGCAGAACAAAACGAAAACGGCGATCGACGTGTAAATTTTAAGTATTTCCCACCTTTCCAACTGGAACTTCGAACTTATCTCTCTCGTCGTTCCTCCCTTCCACCCCCTTCCCACCTTCCCTCGAATTTCCATTTTCCCTTCAACTTCACCGGGTGACGCAAACGCGACACGGAAAGACGAGGACAGAGCATGGAGGGGGGAGAAGGATCGCTCACGTTTCTTCGACGCTCACCACGACGGTGAAAAAGTCGTTCCGATCGAATGGAATCGTCATCTTTAAGCGGCGAATCGAGCGGACAGCCGGTCCTCTCTGTTCCAGCTGCTTCTTCCCGAACAACCTTCTATTATCTCCTCGTCCTCTCCTCCCGCGGGGGATTACCCGCCAACGTTTCCCTCTCGGAAATTTTTCGATGAGAAACGAGCCGTTAGACGAGCCTACGAATTTGGACGCGTCGATTCCTCCCCTCGTGCAACATTTTCCCCTAGATTTTACTATCATTTTTAACTCGTGTAGTCGTCATTCTACATTTTATTATTATACATATATTTACATTAATATTACTCTTAACCTTCTTAAATATAAACAAGTGCAAAGGTTAATAAGATGTAAAATTTAGACATGTCAATTCCTCCTCTCATGCAACATTTTTCTCTAGATTTTATTATCATTTTTAACTCGTAGTTGCCATCCTACATTTTATTATTACATGATATTACTAGAGACTCTTGTTACTTTGATTGATGATAACTTTTTAAATATAAATATGAGTGCAACATTTTTCCCTAGATTTTACTATTATTTTTAACTCGTATAGTCTCCATCCTACATTTTATTATTATATATATATTTACATTTATTTATTACTTTTAACTTTCTTAAATATAAAGACGAGTACAAAGTTAATAAAATGCGAGCAAAATTTGGACACGTCGATTCCTCTCCTCGTGCAACATTTTTCCCTAGATTTTACTATCACTTTTAACTCGTATGTCGCTGTATAATCGCCATTCTATATTTTATTATTATATATAATATTACTAGACTCTTGTTACCTTGATTAGTAACTTTTTTAAATATAAATACGAATGCAAAATGTTAATAAGACGCAAGCAAAATTTAGACACGTCGATTCCTCCTCTCGTGTAACATTTTTCTCTAGATTTTATTATCATTTTTAACTTGTACAGTCACCATCCTACATTTTATTATTACATGATATTACTAGAGACTCTTGTTACCTTGATTGGTAACTTTTTAAATATAAATACGAATGCATTATTTTTCTCTAGATTTTCTCTAGATTACTATCATTTTTAACTCGTGTAGTTGCCATCCTACATTTTATTATTATACATATATTTATATTAGTATTACTCTTGTCATCTTGATTGATAATCTTCTTAAATATAAATACGAATGCAAAGGATTAATAAAACGCAAGCAAAATTTGGACGCGTCGATTCCTCCTTGTGCAACATTTTCCCCTAGATTTTATCATTTTTAACTCGTATAGTTGCCATACTACATTTTATTATTATACATACATTTATATTAGTATTATTCTTGTTATCTTGATTGATAATCTTCTTAAATATAAATACGAATGCAAAGAATTAATAAGACCTGAAATTTGGACGCGTCAATTCCTCCTCTTGTGCAACATTTTTCCCTAGATTTTACTATCATTTTAACTCGTTTCTTTTATAGTCGCTATTCTACATTTTATTATTATACATATATTTACATTAATACATATATTACATTATTACTCTTGTTACCTTGATTGGTAACTTTTTTAAATATAAATACGAATGCAAAGGATTAATAAAACGCGAGCAAAATTTGGAAAGGGAATATCATTGACAGATAAATACTACACAAGCGGCATCGATTGCATAATCGAGTATTTCAAAGCAATTTATTACAATTTTGATTGCGATGGATTGAAGTATTATATAAACGATTACATTGACGGGAAAGCAATGTTTCTATTAGCCAACCAGTTTCCAACGAAATGAACGGGAGAGTCGGGGAAACCGAGGGAGGGTCGAAATATAAACGCGTGCGTTATAAGGGGGATGAGAGTCGAGAAGTTTCTCCCGGTAACTTCATTCTAATTTCCAACGGGAAACGGGCTTAAGAGAAAATAATTCACCGGATATTTTGGAATAAATTTGCCGCGCGCGACGGGAGAAGAAGAGTGAGAAAGGGGGAAGGGGGAGGAAGAGAGAGAGAGAAAAAAAAAGGGACGGTGTTAAGCAGCGCGGCCGCTTTTCCACGGGGGTGTAAATTATGCTCTTCTTACAGGCGGCAGTTTTCACTCTATCCGAACCTGGCAGAGGCCGCCCTCTGTATTTATGTTACGAGTTATTAAGAGAAAGTTTCAGGTTTTACGTCGAGTAACGTCCCACACGATGCGCTCGTTGGAGAAACGGCGATGCTCGTGTTCTAGGCGATATTAAAACCTTTTATATAGGGGAATGACGAGAATGCTTGTGTTTTTAGAGCGAAGGTTTGATTTTGGGATCGTTCCCTTTTAAAATCTTCCTCGATACCAAAATGCTGAAAATGCTTTTAATGAATTGAAATTAATATTCAAGAAGCGACTCGTCTCGATCTAATCGTGAATTAAGTATCTCTCAATAATTTCCCCTTTCTTTTTGCATCATCTAATATTCTTTGCTTGTTGTCGATTACAACGCTTTGCAAAAAAAAAAAAAAAAAATACCTTTATAAATTTTAAAATTTATAAATTTTTAACAGGTTTTAATAAATCCTGTAACAAAACGAATCGATATTCATTTTTTCCTGAACTATTCACATTTATGCAAATCTAGAACCGTCGTTGCTAGACGAACTAAAAGTAATTTTTCGGCGATTCTCTCCCTCCCTCCCTCCCTCTTTCTCTCTCTCTCGATTGAGAACACGAGAGCGCCAAATTAAATTCAGCGAGAATACGTTTACGAAGTTGTGTGTAGCGTTTAACGCGTACGGAATTCGTTTGGCTCGCGGAAATCGTGTTTCCTCTGCCTGCTGCGCGGACTAGTGATTGCTTCTGGAACACAGATGGATCGTAGTTGTTTCGATGTAAAACGATTTCAACGAGTTTCGCGCGGTTACGTTTCTTTCTCCGAATAATTTCTAAAATTTTCGACCTCTGAATTCTTTCTTCGAATTCTATCGAATATTATTTAAGTAATTTTTTAATTTAAGAATTATTATCGTAGTCTTTGAGTATTA